AAGGATGCAGAAAGTCCACACACAAAATAAATTAAAAACATATAAGTGGTGGCTGCCCTTAGAGGCTTATTAGAGAGAGTTAATGTTTTATACAGTGCCAGGGTAAAGCGTAAAATGGGACCAAATGGTCACACAAAGAACAGCAAGTGAGTTCACCTAACACTGACCTGAAACCTTAGCTCTTGATTGCTTGCTAGGCTCTCTCTGCTTGGAACCAGGATGTAGGACAACTTCATAATTATGCAACAATATCTTTGGCTCAGTGGGCTTCGGAAGCAGGTACCCAGGCTTTCAACCCCAGCTGCATTCGGCCCCAATAAAAGGCAAGGCTCTGGAGTTAAAGTGCAAAGCTGTTTCCAGTATTGTTTACTCACCGATCCTGCCTTGGTCAGTGTTCTATTGCTGTGAAGAGACACCATGACCAAGGCAACTCTTATAAAAGAAAGCATTTGACTGGGGCTGGCTTACAGTCAGTGTCAGAGGTTTAGTACATCCTCATCATGGCAGGGAGAATGGTAGCATGCGGGCAGACATGGTGCTGGAGAAGTAGCTAAGAGTCCTACATCCAGATCCCAGGCAGCAGGAAGAGAGAGACTCTGGTTCCTGGTTTGGGCTTTTGAACCCTAAAAGCCCACCCTCAGGAAGTGTGTCACTCAGGGTGGGCTTTGAGGTTTTCATAAGCTCATTACAAGCTCTGAGTTTCTCTCTTCCTGCTGCCTGTGGATCTGGATGTAGGACTCCCTTCTCTAGCACCATGTCTGCCTGCATGCCGCCATGCTTCCTGCTGATGGTGATAACAGACTAAACCTCTGAGACTGTAAGCCAGCCCTAGTGAAATGCTTTCTTTTCTAAGAGTTGCCTTTGCCATGGTGTCTCTTCACAGCAATAGAACACTGACCAAGGCAGTCATTATGAAGATTAAATAAAATAGGTTTAGACCAGCACCTGCTACTTGGTAACTAGCTGTTATGGTTTGAATATAAAATGTCCCATAAGCTTAGATTTCAAGTAATGTTCTCCAGCTGGTGGTACTATCTGGAAGGTTCTGGAAACTTTAGAGGAGGTAGCGCCTAACTGGAAGTAGGTCAATGGGAGTATGCCTTTGAGAACTCTTCTTGGCCTGATAATCCCCTTCTCTCTCTGCTCCCTGGCAGCCATGAGATAAGCTGCCTCCGGCGCATTGTCTGAAAACACAGTGTGAGCGGGTATTCAAGGTTCTCCCGGGGCTAAGCCCTACTCCAAAATTAAACAAATTCCTGTTCCTGAAGCTATTCTGTCAGGCATTTGGTCAGAGTGAGGAGAAAGCTAAGGTACTAGTACACACCAGCCATCTTTCCCGAACTCCATGCTGTTGGCCCTGTTGATCCCTGCCAGAGCCCTGTGACTTCTCCCCTGGTAAAGTGGAACTGGCATGCAGTTCATCTCTGTGGTGCCTGGACCCATAACAGATGTTAGTACTTTGCTTTGAGGTCTGGGGAGCAGAGTGACAATCTTCAAACAGGAATAAACAGCATCACTGGGCGTGGGCTTTTGAAGCCTTGGATAAGTTTGGACACTATATAATTCAGAAGCATCACAGAGTTATTGGGAGAGGGTGCATGTCACTGGCATTACCCACTGGGTGTCATATCATCCGTGGGAGAGGGTGCGTGTCACCTGCATTATCCACTAGGTGTCCTCCTGTTGCAGTTACTGGGCTGAGCCTGCCAGCATTCCCACTCCTTGCTTCTTCTATGAGACACCATCTACTCATTTAACAAGATCCACTGTGCTGGGACTATCTACAGGGCCCCAGAATCCTAACTGACACCCTTTCACCTACAGAAAAGACACTCTCTGCTTAAGAAGGAGGTGTAGACTGTGTACTGGGGGAGAGAAATGGATTAAAAGTGACATGCGAAGAGCCAACGCTGCCTCTGCTCATCTAGCTAGTACTGGAAGTCTCTCCCCACAAACCCATGCCGACTTGCTTTCCTAAGATTTGATGTTTTTTGATCCAGAGACATACAGATTTAGGTTTCACAGCAGACGGTTTTCTCTTTTTGCTTTAAGGGGACATGTACCACAGACAGAACACTTATCAGCATGGGTCTGTGCTTTAGGGAAGGAAGGGCTGATAGGGCAAGGCAAGGACTACTTTATTTTCTCTATTTTTCTCAAAGAAAACCATTGTTTTCATTTGAGTGCAATTAAATAACCTTTAGCAAAGGGGACAGAAGAAGAAACTTTTATTAGCTTTAGATACTAATATGAAAACACAGACTAGAAATTTTCATCTCTCTCTGTTCTAGTTATTTTTCTATAGTCTATGGCAAAGATCACAATCAAAAGCAACTTGGGGGATGGGTGGTGGTGGAAGAAGCCTTTAATCCCACCAAGTTCCAGGACAGCCAATGCTACACAGAGAAATCCTGCAGAAGCAAAAAGGCAAAAAACAAAACAAAAAAACTAAAAAGCAACTTGGGGAGGAAAAGGTTTATTTTACCTTACACTTCACACATCAATCATTAATCAAGAAAATGCTCGCATAGAGCTGCCTACACATAGAGTAGCCTATAGCCAATTTGGAAATTCATTTCCTCCATTCAAGTTCCTTTTCCCAGGAGATTCCAGCTTATGTCAAGTTGACGAAAGACAAAAACAAAACAAAACAACCAGGCCACCCTCCCCCACTTGCTACCCTCCACCAAAACCACCAAAGCTAAAAACATACAAAATTTTCTTTTGCTCTCTCTCGATCACAAAACCAAACCCTGGGGGATCTGAGATCTACTCTAGGCCCTCTGTACTCTGGACAGGTGACTTAATTTTAAAGCTCAAGAACTACCTCCCTTCAAGTAGGAGTTACTCCACTGTGAGGGTCTTGTGCTCATATGAGAAACTGCATCTGGTTTTGTGTCTTGTGTCACTTTGGGCAGCACTTCTTGGAAGGACGGTGTGGCAGGACTGAAAAGACACACTCTAAAACCAGAGTGCAGCGTTGGAGGTTTCAACATTTGGCCTTTTGTGTTAGTGGCTGAGGTCCTGCCTCCGCAGATACCCAGGGGGCAGCTATAAGGGTGGGCCAGAGGAACACAAGCCTCTCTGTGCACCGCGGAGGTCCATCAATAGCAGCCTGGGCCTGGAATGTTCCCTATGAAATGAGCTAGGCGTACTCCTACACAGTGGCATTCTCTCAAGAGTGCTTACCTGGGTTGAAATAAAAAATAATATTTAACAAATCCTGGTCTCCCCACGTGATGGCATTCTTATACTTCTGGTACAGCGGGAGCAGCATGTCCTCCCAAGCCAGGCCTGTTGGAATCAGGCTGTTCTGGAAGAGAGGAAACCATGAGAGAGGCTGCGGCAAAGCCAGTGTGCCTTGTCCAGTGAAAATAGGGACCGCTATCCTTTCCTCTTAGACACAGTGTGCTCCTGCTACCCTGGGCACAGAGCCTAGCCTATTCTTTTTTATTTTCTACTGTTTTGGTATGCGGTGGATCGAAACCTTGTACAGAATACACACCAGCTGTTATGAATCTATTCTCCTTTTTTGGTGTATGTGTGCATATGTACATGCATGTTCTTGTGTGTACTAGGGCAAAAGTGTATGTAGGTAACTGTGAGCATGTGAATAAGTGCTTGTGGAGGCCAAAGAACCTCAAATGTTGTTTCTTAGAGGCCTTCTGCTTGTTTAATGAGAGGGGAATCTCTCTTAGTGGCTTAACACACAGCTGGCAAGTGGTCCCCAGAAATCTGCCTGCCTCTGCATCCCCAGCACTGGGATGATAAGCCACATCTGGCTTTATTTATTTATTTATTTATTTATTTATTTATTTATTTATTTATTTATTTATTTAATGGGTTCTGTGGGTTGAATATAGGTCCACAGGCTTGCAAGGCGAGCACTTTACCAGCTGAGCCATCTTTCAGCCCCCTGTTCTTCTTAACATGAGGAGAATGGATGGGGACTGTCATCCAAACATGTTCATTTTGGTTCTTTTTATTTTTTACTGGTAGAAAAGAGACCCTAATCAGCCACGCACAGAGATCTGTCTCTTCACAGACATACACCTCTAGAGCCATTCCAAGAGACTGGGCGTGGGCTTTTGAAGCCTTGGATAAGTTTAGACACTATATAATTCAGAAGCATCACAGAGTTATTTCTGAGTGGAGGCTATGAACCTTCACATCCCACAGACCCCTGGGCTTTTCCTGAGCAAAACTCCACATTTCAAATACTTTCCTCCCCACCCCCAGGCCAGACCAGCACAGCCACACCCCCAGCAGGTCCCTACTGCAAAGACTAACTCCCAGTCTTTTGTTTGTTTATTTGGTTTGTTTTTCAAGACAAGGTTTCTCTGTGTAGCTTTGGCTGTCCTGGCACTCACTCTGTAGACTAAACTGGCCTTGAACTCATAGAGAACCACCCCTTGAACTTACAGAAATCCACCTGCCTCTGCCTCTGGAGTGCAGGGATTAAAGACATGTGCCACCACCACCTGGCTTCTAACTCCAGGTCTCTAGACAGGATTTTAAGCACTTCCTTACCTTGAACTGGGTATTTCTTATTCGAGTCAAGTTCATGAGCATGACCCCTGAATTAACCCCTGTAGAGCCATAGAATGGATGTCGGGCAAAGCGGCTATACCAGCCAATCTTGGGGATTTCATGCTCTGGGGCCATGGCAGCAAGCTGGGTGGAGTTAAACTGCCTCAGAAGCTTCCAGATATCATCCACGGGCCTCAGAAAGAGGACATCAGTGTCCACGTAGAGAAGTGAGTCCACATCCTTTAAAATCACCTTTGTGTACAAGGGGCAGGGAAATGGAAGGGAACAAAACAAAAATAGGTCAGAAACAATGGAAATGACTCAACAGGAAAAAAAAACGCCACTGATACTGAACAGTGTTGGATTCTACAATAGGCACCACTATGTACCATTTCTCCCTTCTCCTTTCACCCAAGAATAAGTGTCAGCCAAGGAGTGAAGATTTAACAACAAATAAACCTGGCTCTAGACTGGCCCAGATCCAGGACTACTTGAATATGGACTAGCTTTTCAGACGTCAAACTGGAAACATCAACTGAATACTAGCTCTTTTTTGTTTGTTTTTCTTTCTTCCCACAAGTAACCTACTTGTTTTTCCCTTTTAGTTCTTTGTTGGGACAATCAGGTATTGACAATTTGATGTGGACAATCTCCAGGCCTTTTCCAAACTCTGGGGTAAGGGCTCTGTCCCAGGAGACAGCACTATATCTTTCTAAAATGATATTTTCAGCCTTGTTTGGACTTGGGAATAGAAAAAGCATGTCATTGGCTGGCTTTCTTTGCAGATCAGGGCTTGACAAACTTCTCCTGTAGAGGGCCAGATAGAGCATACTTCAGGCTCCTTGTAGCCAGTTGGCGCTGGGCTGTATCCTATGAGTAACAATGACAATTTGTAAATGAACAAGGGTGGTTGTGACCCAAACTTCATGTAGGCACACTGAAAGTGGAATTTTGTATCACTGTTGGATGTCATAGAAAGTTCTTGAGGTTTAAAAATCATATGCTTCTATTTCCCACCAGACTGCTACACATCTTTTCAGTTAGCCTTCCCAGGTGAAGGGGTGTCTCCTGAGCCCACTACCCCAGCTTCCAGGGCTATGCCTGGGACTATGAGATTTTAAAGTCTGAGTTAGCAATAATGACATGTGCCTCATTTTGTCTTTGTTCTCCAAACTTAGGAACAATTTAACCAAGGGAAGATTTAACTCTTTCTAAGTCCTCATTGTAACAGTACATGTTATAAACTAAGTGTGTGTGTGTGTGTGTGTGTGTGTGTGTGTGTCTGTCTGTCTGTCTGTCTGTCTGTCTGTGTCTGTGTCCAAATCCACATGGTGAAGCCCTGGCACCTAAAATGACAGAATTTGGAGACACAGCTTTAGAAGACCATTGGGTTTAACGGAGGTCATAAGGATGCCATCATAAGGGCATTAGTGCCCTTTTGACAGAGGGTCCCAGAAAGTGTCTTCTTCTCGATGCCATGAGGACACAGTAAGAAAGTACCATGATGCATGCCAGGGAGAAAGCCTTTGCCTGAATCCTACCCAGCTAGCATCCATGTTGGACTTTTCCCAATCAGAACTGTGGGAACACATGTTTCTGTTCTTTAAATCATCCTGTCAGTCATGTCTCATCGTCTTAGTGACTTTCTTTCCTCATCTATTAGAGGAAAGTTTTATAAATTAGTATATGAAGCCGGGCGTTGGTGTTGCACACCTTTAATCCCAGCACCTGGGAGGCAGAGGCAGGTGGATCTCTGTGAGTTCGAGGCCAGCCTAGTCTCCAGAGCGAGTGCCAGGATAGGCTCCAAAAGCTACACAGAGAAACCGTGTCTCGAAAAACCAAATAAATAAATAAATAAATAAATAAAATTAAAAATAACATCTACCATTAAAAAAAAAAAAAAACAAAAAACCTGTCCTGCTGACCATCTGAATAACTCAAAGATCCTGAGCTTCCAACCAGCTTTTGACATCTACCACATAGCCAGGCATGGCAGAACACACCTTTGATCCCAACACTCTGGAGGCAGAGGCAGAAGCAGTCGAATCTCCAAGTTGGAGGCTAGCCAGTCTACAGAACTAATTCCAGGACAGCCAGAGCTACACAGAGAAACCCTGTCTCAAAACAAAAAAACCAACCAACCAACAAACAAAAACCCCTATGACACATCCTCTTTATTTTTCCTATTTCCTATGGAAAGGTAGCGCCTGTCACAGGCTGGCATTAGTCTGCAGACATCATTCAGGAATCCCCAGTCCTAGTGTACTGTGGAGAAAGGACAAACTACCCACTAAAGTGTTAAGAAACACACATTATGATACCAATTGGACATTATATATAATAAGGACAATGCTGTCTTATGCACCTCCAAGACCTTCCTAGGGGTTTTGTGTCCTGATCATCTAGTTCTGCTTGAGGAGGAAACCAGAACATACCCACTCCAAATATGAAGAACTATTTGGCTGAAGACAGAACCCAGGAGAGCTATCTGCCTGCCCTTTCTGTTTTCCTAGAAAGAGGACAGAGACACACAAAAACAGAGACCTTCTAATCTTCCCTCACCAGTTTCTACCCAAAGAGAGAGGTACATTCTTCTCCACAGCCCTCATCAGCTCAGAAACTGAGAATCCTCAGGCTTTTCTCAACCAGCTTTTCCCCAACACTACCCTTCCCAGAATTCCCCTGGAAGCATGCCGCTGCTTTTCTTTGTCTTGTCATTGCTTTGAAATTTATTATTTTCAAAGGACTGGCAGGATGGCTGAGTGGGCAAAGGCCTTTGCTGGAAGCCTCATGACCTGAGTTCAATCCTAGAGACCCATACAGTGCAAGAAGAGAACCAAGGCCTGCAAGTTGTCCTCTGATCTCCACATTCTAGTCATGACATGTGCGCGCGCACACACACACACACACACACACACACACACACACCAAAGAAATAATGGAATGGTTTGAGTAAGAATAGCCCTCATAGGTCCAAATATTTGATGGTGAGTCACAAGGGAGTGGCACTACTAAAAAGGTGTGGCCTTGTTGGAGGAAGCATGTCACCAGGGGTGGACTTGGAAGTTTCAAAGCCCATGCCAGGCCCAGTGTCTTTCTGTCTGAGGACCAGGATGTAGCTCTCAGCTACATCTCCAGCACCATACCTGCCATGCCACTGCTATGCTCCCAGCCACGATGACATGATGATAATGGACTAAACCTCTGAAACTATAAGCCAGCCTCCAACTAAACGCTTTCCTTTATAATAGTTGCCTTGGTCATGGTGTCTCTTCACAGGAATAGAACAGAGACCAAGACAGATAATGTAACAAAATTTATGGCTCTCAGTTAGGTAATTAAGTAAGTCAGGCTCTGCTCTGGTAACCTGTGTGTTCTCCCATGTGATGTACGTGTCGTGGGATGATAAACTTCCTCCTCTTGTAACTCTCCTGTTTTAGGAGTCTGACTCAACTACAAACTGAAGAGGATTGGCGGGGAGGGAATTATGTTTTCTTTACCTCATGGGGAAGGAAAGCTGAATTACAGAAAAGTAATCAAGTTCACGTGTCAAATAACGATTGTTGGAGTGGGACAAATAAGGCTAGAATAAGATAAAGTTGTTTGTCAGAAGTATTTAAGGGAACATGACACTGCACAGTGTTAAAAAAAAAAACTAATTTAAAACCTTAGAATTAGAGAGAGGGTCACAGAGTAAAACCTGATTAAGGCATATTCTACCAAGGCCGTAATTAGCTACGGGAAATCTACTAGCAAATTGAAGTTCAAGGAAGAGAATACTTTTATTGTTTTCCCTGGTCTTTAATCACTGATACATTAATACTTTCTGTAATATAAAGTGCAGTTATCAGCCCTCATAAAAACAAAAAAGGGGAGAAAAGATTAAAGGGAGGGACGGGAAAGGAAATGCTAAAGCAGAGGGGTATTACACCCTGAAGGACTGTCTGTTAGGAGGGGAAAACTGATCCGCTGGGTCAGAATTCATACGAATAGAGCTCTTTTCTATTCCATTGTGGTTTTCATTTCTGACACAAGATCTCACTACACAGGCCACAATGGCCTCCAACTCTGGCCTCTGCCTCCCAAGTGCACCACCAGGCCCAGCCAGAGTGAAAATGGAGTATTACATTTTTATTTATACAACACCTTACATTTCATATACTTGCTTACTGTTACAGACATTTCACTTGTTCACTTTTGGTTTTAGTGGAAATTCTAATAATTGATAGCATTTCTCTTTTGTTAAAACACTCTTTTTAAAAAAATTACATGTTGTTTACTTATTTAGTTGAGGGGCAGGGAGAGAGAGAGATCAAAGGACAACTTGCTGAAGTCACTTCTCTCCTTCAACCATGGGGATTCTGAGAATTGAACCAGGTCCTCAGGCTAAGCAGCAAGTGCCCCTACCAGCTGGGTCACATAGCCGGCCCTTTCTTTTCCTTTCAAACAGTAACTATTTATTTGGTTCAAAAATATGGTTTGATTCTGAAGACATATTTTAAGGGTTAGAACTAAGGGACAAAGAGGAAAGATAAATTTAAAAATGGAGTTAAAAGTGTTGTGAACCACTATGCATGTGCTAGGAATTGAATCTCAGCCCTTTGGAAAAGCAGATTTGGCTTTCTGCTTAATAACTCAACATGTTGAAATCTCCTCCCTCAAACCATAGTGTTTCCAGGTGGAAGGACTTAGCAGATGCTTCGGTCACCAGCAGAGATTTGAGCGTTTCCTGAGAGCAGATGATGAGCAAAGCAAGTCCATCGTCTGCCCTTTCCCCCTTTATGCTCTCTTGATATTTCTGGACTGTGATGTAGCCCCCACCTTCACCGGAAGCTGAGCAGACATCAGTGCTAGGCTCTTGCACTTCTGAGTCTCCAGATTTGTAAATCAAAATAAACCTCTGTTTCGTTCTGTTTAGTTTTTGCGGTTCTGAGATCTGAACTTAGGACCTCATGTAAAGTAGGCAAATGCTCTATCACTAACCTACATTCCCAGTTCCAAACCTCTGTTCTCTTTAAGTTCCTCAGCCTGTGCCATTCTGCTATAGCAGCAGGAAACAGACTTTGAAGGTTGCAGAGTCAGTTGAACATGATCTAAAAGTGGCAAATTAGGGCCATGTGGGTCAAACTCAGGCCAAAGCTGCTTTATTATTATTATTATTATTATTATTATTATTATTATTATTATTATTATTATTTTAACAATTTCAGCATAAAGGGACTTTTTAAAATTTGAATTTATTATTTTATGTT